ATCGTGGAAGAATTGGGAGTTGGCACTTGGAATTCTTCATCTGCAACTCAGAATCGGGTTCAAGAATTCAAGGCATTTCAATCAATTTTGTTGCATACAGAAGCTAGGTCATACTCCATTGAAGGAATTTGGAGCTTATTGAAGGTTGATTTGAAGCTATGACCACTCTGTTCATCAAGAAATTACAGGTATATAAACTTCAATCCCTGGCTTAATTCAAGCATAATCAATAGGATTTGTTAGGTTAGATGCATTGTAGATTAGTGTAGGAGGCTTTCTGGATCATTAATTTGGAGATTAGTGACAATTTAGGGTTTATGCAACTTTCGGTTGAGATTGTTATTCTTGGATTCTTGAGTTTTTAGAACGATTGAGTAGTATAGGTGGATTCCTTGGGAAATTTGGGACAAGATTCGTGTAGAAACCATGTGGGATGGAGGCCTGTAGAGAGAATTAGGGTTGGATAAGGCTGACCAGAAAAGTCACCGGCAGTGACCTTCGCGTGCGCAGGTGGAGGAAGTTTCAGAAATTCAAAAGGAAGAATATGAGTTGGTAGCCATTAGATCTGGGGTGAGACTTTGACCAGGTGATGATCCAAGGGCCACGAATTGATTTAACTTTGTGAAGGATTCTGAGCAGCTTCAATGTTGCGTTTCATTAAAGTAATCTGGGTGGGCTTAGTGCAACTTTGATGTCCACACCCCCTTTTTGGGCCCAACATTGAAATGAACTGGAAATATGTGCTATTTGCCACGCTTGTTTTACCACTTTCCATATTTTCCATTTTATTTTCTTCATTTTGCATAGTTTAGTAAATAATCCATAAAAAATTGAAAAATGACTCAAATAATTCCTTTCTTTTTTCCATGGATTCATGATTGAATCTAGTTTTTTTTTAGATAAAAAATATTAATATTTCATGCATTTTTGATTTTATTAGCATTTGTTGAATTTTAATTGATATTAAAATAACCATGGTTGATACTTTATTTTGTTGAATTTGGTTTGATCATTTAATGATGATTCTTGCATTGATTTTTGTGTGTAGCTAGCATAGATATGCATGTCCCCCCTATATTTTTCTCACATTTTTGGGATGAATGTAAATGGTAGTTTTAGGTTGAAACTTTAGGAGATCCATTTTTAGGGTTTATGGTTAATACCTTATGATTTAGGTTTTATATCTAGAACGTGGTGGATGATTCAACCTCTGAATTTTGTATGGTAGATTCATGATTGAATTAGGGACCCTTAGGAATTTTTGTAGGAATTTACAACGTAGTTTTCTATTTTTGTTTGATTTTAGTTTAGGTGCTAACTTTGGATGATTCTAATGCACTAATTTGACTAGATTAACCCCTTAAGTTCCCTTAGAGTAAGCTTGTGTTGTTTTTGCCCTTGGTTGAGGATGAAGGCTTGTTGAAGATGCATTGGAGTGCTTGAAGAAGTTTGGATGTGAAGATCTTCCCTTCTTTTGGTGTAGTGTTGATTAGGTGTTAAGATTAGGGTTTGTAGGCAGAGCTTCTAGATAGATTCTCTTCCTTCATAAACATGGAGGAAGTTGATCACTTCCATTCTTCCCTATGATGTAAGGTCCCCTTGGAAAGGCCTCATCCCTGCTTTGGTAGGATGTGTGGCTCTTTACAAGCTGGTAGAACCTTTGAGGGTCCCTCTCTCTGATGATAGGATGCTCAATTGTGACCTTTGGTCTTCACTCTGCTACCAATCATCCAAACTTTGCTCTTGTTAGATGAATCTTTCTCCCTTGCTAGAGGATGGAGTTCCTTGCTTGAAGAATACTGAAGAGGCTAGAAGTTGATACTTCTCTGTAGTTGAAAACTGCCATTGAAGCCGAAGCTTCTAGATCAGGAAGAGCAAGTTGATACTTGTAAGGAAGAGAGAGCTGAAGCTTGAAGAAGAAGAGGAACAAGTTGACACTTGTGAAGGGAATCCATTGGAGATGGAATGAAGAAGCTGGAGCTTGAGATTGGAAAGCAAGTTGATACTTGTGAGTTTAATGCATTGGGTCCCTGAAGGAACAAGTTGATACTTGCAATTGGGATTGAAGCCTGAAGGTGGAGTTTATTGAAGGGCTGAAGCTTGAAATTGAAGGAGAGGGATAAGTTGATACTTATATGGATATGTTGGAAGCTCATAGAAGCAAGTTGACACTTGCTATTGAAGATGATAGCTTCGAAGAGCAGTTGCAGGCTGTGGGCTGAACTAATGTCAGAGTTGCTTTGCTGTGAAGCTGTGGAAGCTGTTGATTTGCTTTCTTTCCTGTCTGTTTGCTTTCTGTGCAATTGTATTGATGTGACTTGTTTGATTTGCTTGATGCATTAGAATAAGTTCATCTCTAGACTGATGTAAACTAGGAGCATGATTGCACTAGAGGTTGAGCCGCTCCCTCTGCTTGTATTTTTACTGTATGGCTTTGCTTGCTGGTATTCGGTGGAGCCCAGCTCCCTTGCCTATGTGGTCTGTTATTTGCTTTATGGCATTTTACTTCTTCTGTATGATTACAGTCACTCATATTTTGCTTGATAGCATGTTATTTCTTCCTGTATGATTGCAGTTATTCATATCTGGCTTGAGGTTGAGATGAGCTTGTGGAGGCTGATGCCCCACACACATTTCCTCCCTCACTTGCATTGCATGCATTTTAAAGTCGTTTACTGTTTACTGTTTAAGCTTATGCTTTATCTGTTTCATTTTACCATTGACATGATCCCCTAGGACTCTCACTTCCTTTGATAAGGAAGTGATGATTAGAACTTTAGGTTGAAACCTATGCATGATAACTTCTAGGAGATCCCTGTTTCAAACTTCAACCATAGGATGAATCCTTGGCATTACAAAATTAGGACTTGATAGTCTCCCCTTAGTTGAGCCTGTTCTCTCTTCTCATCTCAAAACAAATTAAAATACAGGAATAAAGGTTAACTGACGCCGTACGTTACGAGCCTTAAGCTATCTGAGAAAGGATTGTTGGAGAGTTTCTTTTCAACAGTCTGGATGTTTAGTATGGCACCCTTTGGGTGACATGCGACACATTCACTCTTAGGTCATAGTCTCTAGTGCGATATTGGTTGCAAACATCCATAAAAAACAGTTCTTTCGTAAAAGACAGAAAACCAACTTCAAACCTTTTTGCCCCGTGGGCCCATAATTCAAAGGAAGCTTTTCTGAAGAAAAGAGTGTCGTTAACTCTCAGTTCTACTACAAACGGTAACGCCTAAGTCTCCAAGGGTCGAGCTGCGTACACCAAACTGCTGGAACTGTTTGTTAACCCTACTCGGAAAAACAGATGAATCTGAACCCCCGTAATCCGTATTATCCCGTACTACGTAAGCTCTGATCTCTCATGTCTGTTGAGAGTACGTAGGCACAATACTGATGTATTGGCGAGCCACCTTCCCCGTAACCCGTAGTTAGCCGAACTACGTAGACTCTGATTTCTCATTCTCTGATGAGAATACGTAGGCATAAAGTGCGACGCTTTGCCGAGTCATTTTCTTTTCTTTTAAAGCCAGCCTTGATAGGTAGATAGATAAAACCAACCCATCAGATAAACACAACAAGCGTGGATCCCATCGAGTACGATGGACGTGAGGGGTGCTAATACCTTCCCCTTGCGTAACCGACTCCCGAACCCAGACAACGGTTGCGATGACCTTGTCTTATACCTTTTCGTCAAGTTTTTCCGATCGTTTCCTTTCCCGTTCTGAGGGATAAATAACGAAAGGTGGCGACTCTTCTGTTTTGCCGGCACCTTATTTTTGCGGTAGCGACAGGTTTAAGTGTGGATTTATCTGATCAAGGGCCCGGGCACAAGGGTTCTTGTACTATCCAAGTGCGAAGAACCCCGGAGGTGACTGCAATGAGCAAAAATCTCACTCATCAGCCTAAACGATGAGCAAACAGTCGAACATGAGAGCAAGGGATCACCTGACAAATGGACGAGGTCCAAGGAGGGAGGAAAGAGAAAGGCAAGAACCATGCTTTCAAAGAAGTGGCGGTCCGAATCTTATTTGAACTGGGAGAATTACTGACTAAGCCATACCATAAGGGTCATTCTCCAAACGGGACGGGGTCAAGCCTTTATATTTTTGAGTAGGTTGGGTGACAGATCGGCCATAGGAGTACTCCAGGATATAAACCTAGGCAACCAATGTCGAGCATACGACGATGCCGCCCGTTTTCATTTTGTGGAAGTCCCTGGAAGAGGAAAGGGTTGTAGGTGATGGCGCATTCTGCTTCTTATCTAGATAGGGGCGCTGAAATCGTTCCTATTGGGTCGTGCGTGGGGCAGCTGGTATAGATGAATAAAGGCGGGCCGCTTAAACCGAACCTATTCTCTTAATAGGCGGCAAAGTTGAATAGGAAAGGGGTTGAGCGAACTGATGAGTTATTAGCCTTAAAAAAGGGCTCTCTCATATGAAGCTAACATGGCTGGCTACATACAAGTATATCCAAATCAAGATGAGACGTAATGGACGGTCAGAGGCCGCAGCAGGACTATCACAGGAAAGCCTTCCCCCGCTAGCTAACATAGAAAGAGATTCCTAGATAAAAAAAGTCTCTATGTGAATCTCTTCCCGACCAGGACATACCGAATCGGACCACCACTTAGGATGGGAATGGCTCAACCCATATGCATCATTTGATGAAAGCACTCCAGTCGCTTCCTCGAAGTGGCTTGTCAACCACGCTTTCCCTCCCTCAAAACAATGCTCCTCACCAACCTTAACGGCCATGGGTTAGGGCAAGACTGCAATGAGTAGTTCGCTCCAGGACCCCACCCCCTCGAGAGTTGGATGCCAACCGAGATTGAGCTGGGAGCCTAGACTTTCCTGGGGCTTGCCTTGCCCCTACATCTAAAAAAATGCGGGCACCAAAAAGGAACCAGCCTCTTCAATAAAGCTTTGCTTGGTAGGCGCTTCCTATTCACTCGGACAATGCTCTAAACACGAAAGTGTGACGTGACGCCCTCTTATCCCATGCTGAATCACAGGCAGCGCCTCGGAAAGCACGGACGAGCCACATGCAGGGAAACTTGCACGTGTGGTTCTGGCCGGGGACCCCGGTATACTATACTAATATGTGTAGGTCCCCGTAATTCGAGTGAGATTGTCATGGCGCAAAAGCAGATATGGCCTGGTATTCCCTTGTTCCCTGTATTGGTTATGTTCTTCATTTCTCGTCTAGCAGAAACTAATCGAGCTCCATTTGATCTCCCAAAAGCGGAAGCTGAATCAGTTGCAAGCTATAATGTAGAATATGCGCAGGATGCGATCCTTAATAGTCCACTGTTGGCGAAAGCTAATGTCCCGGGGTCCCGGGGACTCATTCTGACTGAAATAAGGGGTGGGTCTTTACCAACTTAATAATCTTATATTTTAGGTAAGCCAAAAAACGTGAGCACCCCTACGCGAGCCTTATTGAAAACTCAAGTTAATTTTTTATTTTATATGTATTCTATTAATGCGCTCAAGCATGCGAAGAAAGTTACAAGTGAGAAAAGCCCTTTCTATGTTATTAGTAAAGAGCTTTTATTGCTTGTTTAGTAAAGTAATGCTTTTAGATTTGATAGGAGTAGGTGCTTGCTGAGGAACTTTTCATTCTTCATTCGAAACTAATGAATGTCGGGGGTTTCTGCCTTGTTATCAAAAAGGGAGTTGGGTAAAGCAAACTCCCTCCTGTTAGAACACAGATTGGTTCTTAATAATAACTCTTTGTTTTGATGATAACTGTTAGGAAATTTATATTTAAGAATTATATACTCTAAAATTTGTTTGAGAGTTTTACTGCAGATTGAATTGAAATTAACTCTCTAGAAGCAAATCTGTTTTGGATACAAGAAGTTATTTTGACTCTGAAGCGCCAGATGTAACTTACAGAAGAATCTGATTGCTCATTACAGAAGATCCTGAGCGTAGTCTCCAGAAGGATCTGAAGCAAGAAGCTCCAGAACATTCTGAACCAGAAGCATCTGAAGCTGAAGCATCTGTAGCATAGAAGAATATTGATTGAAGAGTTTCTCAAAGCATTTGTCTAACAGAAGTTTCTGAAAGTACCAACGCTGCCAAGTACTGAAGTTCTGTGTCAAAAATGCTCTGATGATCAACACGCTGAAAGCACACCTGCTGCAGAAGACTCTGATATAGCAAAGTTCTGAATATCATTAGAAGACTCTGATCCATTCAGATTCTGAAGAACTTGCTGAAAACTGAAGAAGAAATATTCAAGAATATATCCGTTGGAGTTATTCAACGTCTCTTTCCTCATTTGTGCTAGACACACTTAAACAGACAAAAAGGATTTTTCTGTGCCATCTACTTCTAGGAAAGGTCACTTGATGTGAAGACAAAAAAGGCTCAGACCTTTTTGGGACTCTCTTTTCAACGCTTAGCTTCCTTGGATCAGCTGCCTATAAAAGGAGAACTTCACCACTTTCTTCAGTGACACGTTTTTTTGCTGAAAAGAAATCATATTATTCTAAGCTCTCATTATTTCATATTCTTCTTAGAATCTTATTGTACTTAAACTTAAGAGAAAAATCACTGTTGTGATAAAAGCTTTATAGAAGCATTAATACTCTTGTATTTAATTTACATTGATTGTAAAGGTTATTCCTTAAGAGGATTCAGTTGGAATCAGTAGCTCTTGAGAAGACTAAGAACAATTGTTCTTAGGTGTTACTATTGTAATCAGTTTGATTTAATAGTGGATTAAGTCCTTGTTGAGAAAGGCAAATCACTCTAGGAAGGGTGGACTGGAGTAGTTGTTTAAACGAACCAGGATAAAAATAATTGTGTGATTTTCTTTCAAGTCTTAATCTTTCATACTTATTCAACCCCCACTTCTAAGTATTATCTCACCTTCAGTTGGTATCAGAGCTCCGGTTCTGAGTGTGCTACCACTTAACAGTGTCAGTAAAGATCCAGAGAGAAATACTTTGATATATATTTATTTGTTACCATGGCTGATAATTCAATGTCCAATATTAACAATAAATATGAAGAGAGGGATAGGATCAGCACCAAACCCCCAATGTTTGATGGGGAGAAATTTGACTACTGGAAAGACAGAATTGAGAGTTTTTTCCTAGGATATGATGCTGATCTATGGGATCTAGTCATAGATGGATATGTACATCCCACAGATGGGGATGGCAAAAAGATTGACAGAAAATCTATGACAGATGCTCAGAAGAAAGATTTCAGAAATCACCACAAAGCCAGGACTATATTACTGAATGCTATTTCACATACAGAGTATGAGAAAATTACAAACAGGGAGACTGCTTTTGATATGTTTGAATCCCTAAAAATGACCCATGAGGGAAATTCTCAAGTTAAGGAGACAAAAGCTCTGGCTCTGATCCAGAAGTATGAGGCTTTCAAAATGGAAGACTCTGAATCTGTTGAAGCCATGTTCTCCAGATTTCAGATACTCACTACTGGGCTAAAAGTTCTGGACAAGGTGTCGCTACTGCGAAAATCGGCGCCGGCTGAACAGAAGAGTCCCCACCGTGCGTTATTTATCCCAACAGAGGGAAAGGAAACGCTCGAGGTAAACCTACCGCAAAACGGGGAAAGGAATGGTCATCTCAACCAAAACCTGGATTCGGGAGTCGGTTACGCAAGGGGAAGGTATTAGCACCCCTCACGTTCGTCGTACTCGACGGGATCCACGCTTGTTTTCGGTCGAAGAGATTGTTATTCTATCTACTCTACAGGTCTGGGGTTAAAAGAAAATAAAATGACTCGGCCAAGTATCGCACTTTATGCCTACGTATTCCCGTCTGGAACGAGAAATCAGAGTCAACGTAGTTCGCCTACCTACGGGAAAGGAGGGGAAGGTTGCTCGCTAGGATATCGCATCCTATACCTATGTACTTTCATACAGCATGAAAGATCAGAGCAAACGTAGTTCAGGCCACGTACGACACAAGTCTGTTTTGATTGTTTTTATTCCTTCTGAAAAAGGGTTTTCCTGATTAGCAGTCCAAGCGGACAAAAATGACGTTTTGATGAGTTCACATTCTTTTACGGAAGAAGTGTCTTTTATTGTGTTTGGAAGATTTATTGTGTTTTTCTGTTTGTTTTGAGAAAGAAGAGACAGAACTCTAACCTATGGTTGAAAAGGGGATTAAACTAACCTAATGTTATCATGCATGGGTTAATACCTAATTTCTATCATGCTCCTCTCTTGCGCAGAGAGAAACAGAGATCCTAAGGGATAAACGGAAACAGAAACAATAGCATATATACAATAAAGCAGTAAAATGCATGGATGCAGCAATACAAGCGAGGCAAGGGAGTCCCACTCAACCTCGAACCTAGAAAACAACAGGAAAAAGCGAACAATATTCGCTTTCAACCTAACAGGTTAATGGCAAACAATACAGTCAGGAAAATTCAGACAATACATCAAAAATTATAAACAGCAAAAAATAAACAGCAAAAGCAGTCTTCATCAACATCTGTCTTCAAGTCATCTTCAACCATCTACAAGCTTCAAGCAAGCATCAGTCTTCATCTTCAAGCCTTCAAGCAAGGTCTCTATCTTCAATCCTCCAATGGATTTTCTTCAAGTCTCACTCTCCAAGATGATCAGCAGTCAACAAGATGAAATGGATGTTAAACAGTCAATTGCCTACCAATGGTGGCTCACTGACTGTTAACATGATACTGACAGTTTTCCCTCAAAAGTTCTATCTTTTAAATACATTCACTAATCCTTCCAAAGGAAGGAGGTGGGTATTTAAAAGAGACTTTGAATCATAGAGAAAGGATGGAAGCAAGCAAGACCTTCCATGTTTGTGAATCAAGTTGCTATTCTAGGGCTCTGCCTAACTCCTAGATCCTACACTCCTCAACAGCTGCCAGCAAGAATTTCTCTTCATCAACTCTGGAAATTGGTCTCCATTTTCTTAATCTTCAATGGTCTTCATCAGCACAGTCTTCAGCTCAAACCCAAACCCCAAGCAGGCCCAATACCCCACACAGTCAAATAATAATCCCAGAAAGGGCACACCACACAATCAATCCAATACAAGCAATATACTAATAGAAATAGTAGAATAGGGGAAGCCTAATACTTTCTAAGGGATCTATTATTTACCCATAATACCCCTATAGTCCCATACCCCAAAATTCAAACTACAACTCCTAAAAGAAATGATTTATCACACCTATGTTATATCTAAACCCTAGTTTTAATTCTCCTAATCACACCTAAACAAACCATCTAAAATTTAGTCCTAAAATCATGAATTAAATCTCATATGCAAATTAAAGTCCTAAGTGAAGTACTCTAAAAAGAATGGGTCTAAAATATACAAGGATCTAGCTAAACCAAAATTAACAAGATCAAGTATTAAACTAAACATCATTTAAACCTATTTAAAAGAAAAATATACTAAAAATGCAAAAACAAAATAAAATGCTAATTTTATTACATGACAATTTTCTTAACAGAAATAAGAAAAAGATGCAAAAACAACCACTTAAAAATATGGAATTTTCAATTTGTTAGGAATTTTCAAAGAATTAAGAAAAATGAATGAAATTAAAATGAATTAGATGAGGTTAGGGGTGCAGTCAGTAATTATTTCAGTTGAAAAATGGATGATGGGCCCAGACTGGGGGTGCGCATAGCAAGGCGCGTCTGGGCCCAGTTAATCAGAAAAAACACAAAAAGAGAATAAACCAAAAAACGGTGCAGGAAGTAAAAACTCAGTTCAAATCACGTTGGGCCTTGAAAGTGGTGGTGCGAATAGCATTCTCAACTTAAGCCCACCAGAGGGTTTTAAGTGAAACGGTGCGCTTAAGGCACCCAGCTTCCCTCCAAATTCAACTTTAAATCGTGGCCGTGCGATCACATTCTCAGTCAACATGGTCTTGCTCAATCCAACGCCTCCCAGTTCGTCTTCTCCAAATGCCACTTAGGGTTTCAGAAATTGGCTTCCATGCACAAATCTTCACCATCATCGTGCTCTCTCATCTCTCAACTAAATGCTCTCATCCAAAAACCAAAACTGCCCTACATCTTCTCCTCTACACAACCATGGTTTCAGTTTTCTCTAAAACTCAATCTAGAGCCAAACCCGATAGGTAGAAGACCTTGGTTCCAACACTTTACTCTGAGATCAACCTTGATGATTCTTGCTAACTCTTACACTAATGTGTTCTACATGTTATGCTGATCATTCTAATCTATCTAGCTAAGATTAACATTCCCTAACCTAACTGTTCTAAGTCAAAACAGTTTTGGTGCTCATGTAAAAACCTCCATGAAATGCTCTTAAACTCACCAGAATTATTCAGCTACCTATTCCTAACAATTCTAACCTAAAGATTCTCTATCATGTTATCTAATC